TAGTTTTTTTTATTAACCTTTGAAAACCCACTAAACCAAATGTTTTCTTCAAAAATACATAACACAACAACCACCAGGTTACCAATCCGAAACCATAACTGAAAACAAGTATTTTCCCCCAAATTTGTACATTAATAAATATATATCCAAATCTAACACTGCAGGAAATATGGGTTTAGGTGACGTTTTTTTAACGGCGTTTTTTAAAATGTCATTGTTTCTAATATTTAACGGCGTTTTATAAACGTCTTATTTTTTTTAATTAAAACGGCGTCATTTTATGAATAGGAGGCGTTTATAAATGTCTTTAAATGCATGTTATCTCACGTACGTCCTTTTTCAAATATGAGAATCTCAACTCTCAAATTGAACCGATGCACTCCTAAATACTCTCTCTCTCTCTCTCTCTCTCTCTCTCTCTCTCTCTTTGTGTGTTGTCTAAACCCTAATTATCACAGAGATTCAGTTGCTTACCAATGGAATCCTCAGAAATCGAAGTTCTCTCTCGAAATCGAAGTGATTCATCAGAGTGATTTCGAAGTTCATCTCAGTGATTTAGATCAGTCTCAGTGATTCAGATCTCGAAATCGAAGTTCATATCTCAAAATTTTAAAATTCTGAGTTCATATTGCTTCGATTTCATATTGCGATTCAAATTTGAGTTCATATCACTTCGATTTCAATTTAGATCTGAGTTCATATCACTTCGGTTTCGATTCAGATCGTGATTCAGATCTCAGCAATTCAGATCGGTCTCAGTGATTCATGTCTCAAAATCGAAATCGAAGGTCATTTCAGCGATTCAGATCGGTGAGCTCCATTCTCTCTCTCTGTCTCCCTCTCTCTCCCTCTCTCTCTGTGCTGTTTCGTAGAGATTCCCTAATTATCACAGAGATTCAGCTTGTTGATTTAGAGGTTCAGATCGATCTCAGCGATTCAGATCGGTGATTCATCAGAGCGATTTCAAAGTTTTCTCTCGAAATCGAAATCGAAGTTCATCTCAACGATTCAGATCGGTGAGCTCCACACACTGTCTCTCTCTCTCTCTCTTAAGGTGAAATTGATCCTTTGATATTCTATGAATGGTTTTGATGTTTGATTTGAAATGATCCTGTCATATCCCTCATTTATCAACCTATATGTATTGACCCTTTCTCATCTATAAAAATTATACTAATGCCCATTCTAAAACTTATGGGTAAGTAAAAAACCCCTAGTTCTGATTTCTATATTGAATGATTTGCAGTAAGAGATAGAGCTTGGACTTTCCAATGTAAGAGTTCAATCATTTCCTATATCATTCTCTTCTCCTTCAACTTTATTAGTGTTTCTAAAGATGCAAGCACAAGAACCTTATTCTTGTTTTGTTGATTTATTAAATATCATGTCATTGCAACTTTATTACTTTTGTTTTTGTAATACATCCTTTTTCAATTGTAGTAAAGTTATTATCAAGTATAACCGTCCTTAATGTGCTGCTAGTTGTCTATATCTACTATATCTGTCTGCTGCCTAACATTTGGCCAAGATTATTTTCTAGACATAGGCTTGGTTATGTTGTGCTAAAATATGTTCTTTCGATTGGGAAGACTTCCTAATATTCTGGTATGAAAACTATGTGCAAAATGTAATGTCCTTCAATAGGAGGACGTAATGTCCTGTGGTGATGTTCTATGAGCTTATAGTTTTGAGGGTTTATTTGTCGAAACAAATGGCAATTGATGCCATTCTTGACGTGATAGAAAGATGGCTTCTTATCCTCTCATCGGTCGGTTCGAGCTCAAGATCGCCACCATGGGTATTTTTTTGGTGATTTTGATACGATTTCTTATTGGATTGAGAGAAAATAAATCTCTCATCACTTGTTGAATGATTAAAGAGATGAGAGAACTATTGAGAAAATGATGAGAAAGAGCAATATTTCAAAACTTAAGTTTTATTGACACCAAAATTGCTCTTTATAAATTTTTTTACAATTATTCTAATACAAAATAAGTAAAATTTTATGACATGTGTCCTTTTTATTTATTTATTTATATGTTGATAATTAGTGCACTATGCCAAAGTTAGGTGTGACTCCAATTTTTCCTCTCATGAGCACACATTAATGTATACTAATTATGCCCTTTTTTTTTATGTTGATAAATCACAATCATTTATTTTCGTTTTTCAAACTCATTTATATGTTATTTTTCACTTCGCTATCCAAATGGGGCCTAAATGGTGTATTGGTAATTTTGTTATACTAGATGATGAATAGTTTTTTATTTTTTGTTTTTTGTTTTTTTTGGTGGATTTGCATTATATAAACCCAGTAGCAGTGATTTGGTTTTAAATACTTGTCAGAAACAAAGGAATACATTACTTAACATGGACTAAAGTTTTATCATAGTTTTGTGCTGAATTTTCATGTTTTTTCTTTTTCTAGTTGCTTCAAAGTTATTGTACTCAAAGATTTTGGATTTTGAATTAGGTTATAATGCTACTGATGCAAAACCATTTTAGGTGGTATTTGATCTCATTTTACTGCTAACCATTGGGTTTTTTAGTTTTGGTTCAAATGAGTCACTTTTAAAAGTTGTGATTGGCTATGTTTTTACTGTATGTGTTCAGCATCTGAGAATGCTTTCAAAGGAATTCTGACCAGTCTTCCCAAGGCAGGATGTGGTGAGTTTGGAAAGTTCTATAGCCTACCAGCACTGAATGATCCAAGGATTGGTAATTTTCTTACTATCTTTTTAAGGTTTTGATCAATATAATTTTTTTTTTTGGTTCCTTTGCTGATATTCACTGCATGAATAAATATAAGTTACTCATAAAAGGAAAAAAAAAATTGAAAAAAGGGAAAAGAAAGAAAGAAAGAATAGGTAAGTTACCTTTTATTTTAAAGTCAGTTGCCAACTTACCATGTTGCATAAGATTTTATTTTTATTTGAAATGATTTCTTCTTTCCCTGTTTCATTATAGTTTTATGTATAATTTTGAGCCATTTCTTATATTGTTTTTGGATTCCCAACTAAAATTGATTATATTTATATAATAAGTCATAAGATTTATATAGAGAAATGAAATCTTTAATTAAATATACTTTTTAAGACACTTTCTCATAGTTTCTGGGTTATTAGGTCTTCTTTTTGTTGCACAAATGACTTACCAAACATTTCTTTGTTGCCCTTGTATCATAACAGATAAGCTGAAATGTGATTAACTATACATTTCTTTATCACTTTAGTATTATTTCTTGTATATACATATTACATGCTTAAATAAGAATTATTTAGTCATATATGATTAACTATATCTGGATTAGATATAGGTTGGCGTGGTATATTCTGAAACCTGAAATGTGTGTTAACGTTAATATGATGCTATGTTGCCTTTTAATTATGTCAAAGTCAGGCTTTTCCTTCATCCTCTTCCTTCTTCCAAGTTTTTGATGATATTACTCTTTGTTGGCAAATTTCCAGCTCACATTCTTTTGCATATGTTTAATGCTATATGTCATATATATGAATCCCTTTTGTTTGTGATTGGAATCATCTGTCAAACATTGATCGCACCATCTAACTTCAATGATATGAGATTCAAAGCTTTGCAACAATAACATGTGGAATCACAAGAGTAGTGACAGAGCTAGGCTGAGAACTAGAAACATTCTCAACCAGCATATGTGGACCTATTTAAGTTAGTTCCTTGGTTTCCTCAGGTATAGCTGCACCAACTCCAGGACAGGCTTGAATTAAACTAGCATTTTTGACTTCTCTAATCGTCTGTAGTGTATCTCTCTTTTTCCAACTCATAATTGACTTCTCTAATCATTTCTACAGGTATATTGGTACAGAAACAATATGAACCTTTAGCACTAGTTGTAAAATTGTCTAGTTATAATATAGGGAGTGATATTTCTGAAATGGTGGCAAAAGGTTGTGCACAGAAATGATCAATATGTAATTTGGAAGTAAATCCAATCTTCATTTGTCTGAATATAATGTTTAATCAATAATGGACTTATGCAGTATGAAGTAATTCAAGTGTTTCATTCATATTTTAACAATTTAATCAATAATGGACTTCGGGCTGATGAAGCAGTTCATGTAGGAGCATATTGCCTGAAATCATCTAACGACCCAGCTTTTGCAGTATCTAATTCTTACTAATATTTCTGATTTGTAGTTCCTCTGAAGCGCACAAGCAGCTCTTTTGATGAGAAGCTTCTTGTACAGACACTTCACAAGGTATTGTTTGCCAGACAAATCAATCCCATAGTTTTTGGCGGATTAGAGGCTATATGCCTTTTCCGTTTAAATGTATTTTGACTTTATATAAATGTTTAGCTGATTATGTGGCATGATTTCTAGGTTATTGATGGTCTGACATGGCTGACACGATTTTTGATTTCATTGGTAGGTCCTGTTTTCAATATCAAAAACCAATCCCATTGTGTTGTATCTTAGGGATATTGAGAAGCTCCTCTTTAGGTCGCAAAGGATATATAACTTGTTTGAAAAAATGTTGAACAAACTGTCAGGACCAGTGCTGATCCTTGGTTCACGAGTTGTGCATGGGAACGACTATGGACAAGTGGATGAGAGGCTTACTGCTCTATTCCCTTACAATATTGAAATCAGGGAACCCGAAGACGAAACACATCTTGTCAGCTAGAAGGCTTAACTTGAGGAGGATATGAAGATGATCCAATATCAGGACAACAAAAACCACATTATTGAAGTACTTGCAGCTAATGACCTTGACTGTGATGATCTGGGTTCAATCTGTGTAGCAGACACGATGGTTCTTGGTAACTATATAGAAGAAATTGTAGTATCTGCAGTCTCTTATCATTTGATGAATAACAAGGATCTTGAATACGGACACGGAAAGCTAGTTATTTCATCCTCAAGGTTAGATTAGTATATTATTTATCAAAACAAGGTTAGATTAGTATATTAATTGGAGGCTAGTTATTTCATCCGCAAGGTTAGATTATTATATACATTGGCGGTTTCCTTACTATTCAAGCCTCGTTAACTTACTTTGTTGGTCATGGAACAGTTTGTCCCATGGTTTGAGCATATTCCAAGAAGGCAAGTCTTCTGGCAAGGATACTTTAAAGCTGGAAGCGCAGACTGAACCTTCTATGGTTGTGCATATGTTTTTTCAATAATCTGATGGTATGGAACGTGAAGAGTATTTTCTTGATGTCCTCTTTTTGTTGTCCTAGGATACACCAAAGGATGAGGCTGTTGCTGTGAAGCCAGAAACAAAAGTTGGAAGCACAGTCCTCGAGGCATCAGCTTTAACAGAGGCATCAGCTTCAACATTGAAGGATGCTGGTAACTCAGCGCCAGCATCAAAAGCTCTGGGGGGTTAGATTTATTATTTCATTTCTGAGATTTCTTTGTTAGGATTTACTTATTCTCTACCATTGGTTCTACAAGTGGCTATGTATATATATGCCTGCACCAGCACCTCTGCATTCCATTTTAAAATTACGGATACTTCTTTAGTATTTAATTAATCAATTGAAGAATCACTGGCATTCTTTCAGGCATATAATATATAGACATGTAGATCGATTTTTTTTAGTTTTGTAAACTTAACATGAAGTTTATGATGACCATCCATCTCTGTAGTGTTTATTCTTCTCTTGTTCCCTTTTTTTCTCATCATGGTGTTTGCTTATACCTGGAGATTCCTCCTGACAATGAATTTGAGAAGCGCACAAGGCCAGAAGTCATACCAGCTAGTGAGATCGGTGTGACATTCAAAGATATTGGTGCTTTGGATGATATTAAGGAATCTCTCCAACAACTAGTGATGCTACCTATTCGAAGACCAGACCTATTCAAGGGAGGCCTTTTAAAGCCATGCAGAGGAATATTGCTATTTGGGCCTCCTGGCACTGGGAAGACAATGTTGGCAAAGGCCATTGCCAACGAGGCTGGAGCAAGTTTCATTAACGTGTCTACGTCTACTATCACTTCAAAATGGTTTGGTGAAGATGAGAAGAATGTTCGTTTGTGGTTAATGTTAAAACATGATTTTTGGATATATGTTAGTGTGTGGTTAATGTTAAAACATGATTTTTGGATATATGTTAGTTTGTGGTTAATGTTAAAACATGATTTTTGGATTTTAGATATGTTAATTTTGTGCGTAATGGTGATTGGATATTAATTGAATGAGAAAGTGAATTAATGCTTCATTACAGCTATTTGAATGGGAGTTATTATTTTATATTAGTGTTATTACTGTATTTTTTAGTTCAATCAAATAAAATTAGCACAATTTAAAAAAAAAGGATACGGCGTCTTAAACCCTACATCTAACGTTCATATTTTTTTAAAAAGATATGACGGCATTTTTCAAAACGTCGCTAAATATAACGCCACCTATACTAATATCACGACGTTTTTAAAACGCCATAAACCTATAGCGACGGCTGCATCCTTGACGTTTGGTGCTAAGCGTCACAAAAAGAATTGGCGGCATTTTTGTCACTTTTAGCGGCGTTTTTTAAACGCCACTAAAAGTTGAAGTTCCTACAATGTAACTTTTTGAAAACCGATAACTAACAAAAATAACATATAACGAAGCTAAACAACATGCACACCGTTAAGAAAATCCCTACCTTAAGATTAGAAGACAAGAACGAGCAAGGGTTGAAGTTGGAAGGAGCTGAAAATGAACTTTGCTCCGATTAGAAAGAAGCTCTCGATGAACTCTATCTTTTCTCCAAAGGACAAAGGTGTAGAGATCAAGAGTGAGGGTGTATTTGAGGTTTAAAGGTGAGTTTTAGAGAGAGAGAGGGGGTAGATCTAGGTTTTTGAAAGTTTTAGAGAGAGAGAGAGAGAGAGAGAGAGAAATGAAAAAGTGATCCAAAAAGTGACTTTTACAGACTGATATACGCGTAGACTGCTCAAGTGCAGGAATGGTCGCTCGAGCGACCAGACACAAACGAAGACACCGCTCGAGCACAAGAATGGTAGCTCGAGCACACAAGACACCCCTCCTAGTAGTTCAAACTTGTAAAAATTCGCTCGAGCTCAAGAAGTGTCGCTCGAGCATAGATATCAAATTCTTACTCCCTCCGTCCCATAATATTAGTCCCTTATTCCATTTTCATTGTCCCAAAATATTAGTCCCTCTTCAAAAATCAAGTACAAAAATAATATAAATTTTCTATTTTGCCCTTCTTTTAAATTCATAAATAATATAAAAAGTACAATTATGACATTGATATTCCCAAAAAAATGTACTCTCAAAGGGTAATTTTGGAAAATTAACTTTTTTAAAGTACAATAATTGTACTACCAAAAAAAGTTAGATTCCCCAAAAGGGACCATTATTTTGGGACGGAGGGAGTAGTAGTTTTGTAGACTATAAAAGATCGCTCGAGTGCCAGAATCTTCGCTCGAGCGAACAAGCAAATTCTGGGCAAAGGCTTCTTTGAAAAACGAACTCCCAACTTGTTTCAAATGCAACCGCAGTACTCAAACAATCCAATTCAACAAGGAATGAGATGAACAAGGACAAGAACAACAATGAAGACAAGGAATCCAGAATCCAAAATGATAAACAGGTCGGGTTTAAACCAGAATTGTTATATTATACTTGACCGAAAGTATAATTTTTTGCAATTTTAGAAAATTCATTTATTTTATTTTTATCAATTGAATTATTATATATCTATTTGTTATATAATACTTAGGACAAAAAATTAATAGAAAAAAATAAACAAGTAAATAAATAAATAAATAAAAATCGTATAACTCATGCCATGTTTGGGATGTTATCTTTTTGATTAAAAAGTCAAGAAACTAAAGGGTGCTAAAATGTGTTTGGCATATACAAAAAAAAAAAAAAAGGTTAGAAAATCTTTGTACTAGTTTGAAAAAAAAAAAGCTTAGGAAATCTTTTTACTAGTTTGAAAAGACGAAACAATTTTTGTGAGTGAGTGCATAATTGTTTACATCTTTGGAAGGAGAATAAAAGATTTAAGTAAAAAAAATAAAAATACGACATCACTTATTCGCATTTTCCCATACAATTAAAAAACTCATTCCTAAATACATTAATTTTTTAAGGAGCCACTATTCCCACTCTAGTTTACTCCAAATACAACCTTTTTTTGTCCTTTATTATACATATTTATATTAATATACTTTCACACAAAATACACTCCATGAAAAAACCAAAACTCCAAGAGTGTTAATGTAGTTAGAGCAAGGAAGGGGGTGTATTTAGAGTAAAGCAGAGTGTGAATAGCGGCTCCCTTTTTTTATCTTTTAAAAAAAGTCAAAAAGTCACTGAAAAAGCTAATTTTAAACACTCTTATTTGTTAAGAAAAGGGTTAAAACTTACTTAATCTTATTTTTTAAATTATTTTAATTAATTTAAAAATAAATTTATCAGTCATTGTTTAATCCTGTGCATTCCACGGGTTATATACTAGTTATTATATAATATAAGTAAAAACGTTCTTAGGTTTATGAACTCAAAATTCCTAACCTAATTCTTTTAGACTTTTAAATTGAAAAAATATAAAATTATATGTGTCATGAGATCACTGGCCCTCTCAGTTTAATTATAGTTATTAGATCTTTCATTATTACAGTAATATATATCAAATTTCTTAATTACTACCTTTCAAATTCAATAATTATTCTCCTTTTATGACATTGATATGGAAAATAAATTTCAACAAATTTATTTGTTTACTATAATGGCAAACATGATGTCAAAACATGCAATACATATACCTACCCATGTTAGTTTTCAAAAATTTACCATACAATTTCGTTTTATTTTATTTATCAATTTGACATTTGTTTTGTTGATTCTTTTATCAATATAATAACATTTTTCAAATTTTACTAAATTGCAGTACTTTTGAAAATGAAAAAAAAAAATAGATATTTAAATTTTTTAAGCTAAAAATCAAAACAATATTAATAGAATACATATTCTCCATATGTCGAGAGCTTGTGTCGTTTGTCTAGTTCAAACAATTTGGTCCAACAAAATATCAAGTCTGGATGAGAGTTTTTAATGATAAAATAAGCATTGAGTAATTATACTTTATTATTATATGCAATTTAAAAATATGTATAATAGTTAACCATTTTTGAACAATAACTTTCCAACCTAAAAAAGAACTATATATTTATTTCCTTAGGTGGTATTTGATAAAATTAAAAACTGAAAATTGAAAAATTAAGTATTGAAAACTTAATGATGAATTTTTTAAGTTGAAAAGTTGTTCAATAAGAAATTACGTGCTGAACTAAAACAAATTCTTTGATATGTACAAGATCAAATTTTAAATTTTTATTAAATTTGTATATCTTACAATTTTTATATTGTGATTGTGAGTTGGTAGTGATGGAGGAGGCAACGACGATGTTAGATATGGCGCCAATGTTTATAGTGGTAGAGATTAATGGATAATGATTGTGGTGATAGTAAAAGGGTAATATTGTATAAATAAAAAAAGAGGGGGGCGACAATAGTGGAATGATGGTGGTGGTTGTGACAACAGTGACCATAATTGTGCAAGTGAAGTTGTAATGGTTGTTATAGTGGTGGTAGTAATGACAGTGGTGGCTGTGGTGATGATATGGTAGGTAATGAAATGATAGTGGTACTTATGATAACAATGGCATTGGTGATGATGAAGGTGATGGTAGTAATAGTGGCGGTAGTGGCGGTGGTAATGAGTTTATAATAGTGTATGTCTATATATATATATATATTTTTTATTTGAGTATGTCAATTGTAGTTATCAAATGGGTTAATTAATTATCACTTAATATATTAAGTTTTAAGTGTTGAAGTAGATTATCAAACACCACCTTAGTGTAAGTCATTTTTATGTGTAAAATCTAAAAGATTAATACTAGAGACCTCAAAAAAATTATTAAATTTTCTACACAATATTCACATGGATATGATTTTATATATAGCGATCCCGGTTTGTCCTTCCTTTATTTATTGTATTCCGGACTAGGTTCCGCGGTTATGTTGTTGTCTCATTCTCATTTCCATCCTTTACTCTTTGTATTTGAGTCTTGGGTTGTGTTGGGCAGGTTTGAAACAGGTTAGTTGTGCTTTGAAACCAAAAGTTGATGCCCAGAATTTTGCCTTCACGCTCGAGCAGGGCTTTTGACGCTCGAGCGGGCCCTTTGTTATTGCTTCTCCGCTCGAGCGGGCGTTTTGACACTCGAGCGTGAATTTCCATCTCCCAGTATTTTTTCTCTGCAGGTCTTCGGACGCTCGAGCGGGAGTTTTGACGCTCGAGCGTGACCCTTTGATTTTTGTCCCTCCGCTCGAGCGGGGAGTTTGATGCTCGAGCAGGGACCATGTCTGCAAAACTTCTGTAAGTGTGCAATCGACGCTCGAGCGGCGCTTTTCACGCTCGAGCGTGAGTCTGCGTCTGACGCTCGAGCGGGGAGTGCATTATATCAAACCGAGTTTCACCTTTTTAGATCACTTTTTGATCTCCTTTCTCTCTCTTACTTTCCGAAAACCACTTTCTGAAAACCACCATTGGAGAGCACCTCTCTCTAAAACCCAACTTCTCTCTAGGTATTGATCCAGTTAGAGTGATTTCCCACCTTAATCCCTCTGTAAAAAGTGTTGTGCTTGGCGAGGGCTATCTTTTGATCCGAAAATTTCTTGATTTTGAGCACTTCGAGATTTCTACATCTTCTTCCTTTGAGCTCCGAATTTGAGGTAGGGATAACTACTCATTTCTATGGTCTTTGACATAAACTATTGGTCATTTTGATGCAATGTTGAGTTGGGTGATTTTGGGTGTTAGGGTTTCAAAATGTATAAAGAGGGGCTTTGTTATTTTGGCTCATAAATGTGTATTTTGGGTCTTAAAATGATAGTATTGATGTTATCGAAGTTATTTGGAACTTTGGGTCAATATTGAGAAAAGGGGAAAAAAGCCCTAAATTGTTATGACAAATTAATCCATGTAATTAATTTGGGAAA